TATAGGAGATATAGGAGGTATAGAGGTATAGGAGATATAGGAGGTATAGGAGGTATAGGAGGTATAGAGGTATAGGAGGTATATAGGTATAGGAGATATAGGAGGTATAGGAGGTATAGAGGTATAGGAGGTATAGGAGATATAGGAGGTATAGAGGTATAGGAGGTATAGGAGGTATAGAGGTATAGGAGGTATAGGAGGTATAGAGGTGTAGGAGGTATAGGAGGTATAGAGGTATAGGAGATATAGGAGGTATAGAGGTATAGGAGGTATTGGAAACTCAGTAAACATTTTTTTTTTTTATAAAATGATTTTTCCGAGCAAGGATCGATAAGTTGAATTAGATATAGAAGGTATAGGAGACACAGTAAATAGTTATTTATTTTTTATGATTGATTTTTTCGAGCAAGGATCGATAACTTGAATGAATATATCTGACTGAATCACTATTCGAAGTCAAGCACTGTATAAAGATTATCTGCACTACTTAATTAATATCTGCTATATCTCCTATACCTTCTATATCTCCTATACCTCTATACCTCCTATACCTCCTATACCTCCTATATCTCCTATACCTCCTATATCTCCTATATCTCCTATACCTCCTATACCTCCTATATCTCCTATACCTCCTATATCTCCTATACCTCCTATACCTCCTATATCTCCTGTACCTCCTATACCTCCTATATCTCCTATATCTCCTATACCTCCTATATCTCCTATACCTCCTATATCTCCTATACCTCTATACCTCCTACACCTCTTACCCTAGGACATAATCGAGTTTCCGGGGATATTCTTAGAAGACATCATATGGAAAATCGGCTTTCTTTCCAAATGAAAGCGATTTCTTCAAGATTAAAAATATTAATTTAATAGATAAATTATGAAAAAACTTGGAAAAAAAGGACTAAATTGTCGGTTTTGATAAAAAATTGACGACATGAGTAGAAAATCAAATGGTTTTAATAAATGGATCTTCTTACTAATCTAAATTTGAGAATTTATTTGTGTTTCTGCCACAAAAAAATATGTTCCTTGAGGGATGATTCAATAAATTCTTGTCAGCGGTTTAAAGCAACCGAATTTGTTCTTTTTTATTAGTGACACCAATGCAATATTATGCGATTTAGAGCTCGACAGTTTCGAAAAAAATGGAACCGAGACAAAACCGTTGGAACTGAAAATTTGTTACTGATAACTGAAGAGCTGTTCACGTGTTGCTTAATCTAAAGTCGAATAGATCAATCTACGATTGGTTGGAATTTTAACAGAAGATAACCCTTGATCAATACTATTTATTTTATTATAAAGCGATCATTTTTGTCGACGACCAGTTTTGGATTTGAAAAAAAGCAACAAACAATTTTTTAAATATACCTAAATATAATGTATGCAATGAATCAAAGAGTATTGATTCACCAAAAGAATAATATTTTAATTTTGTTAAAGGACATGGACCTAAAAAAAATAAATTTTACAACATATATGTAGCAAATAATTATATAAAATTTTCCTCTGAAAGACTCTCCCAAATGATCTGGTTAAATCCAGGCATCCGAGACAATACTTAGACAATGCTTACCAGCATGTCCTTTTAACAGGAAAGTCATGGTGCTCGGCTTCGGTCACCAGATTATTGCATACGGAATCATTCCTGGCTTTATCATTTCTATACGGGAATACTTTGATGGTACTTTTTCGTACATTTTTCGAATAGACAGTGAAATTTTCACCTAAAATAATGCAATAAATTTTGAACTTGAAAAATGAAACTAAAGAATAATTAATGTATCTTCAGTAAAGCATTGTGGGAGACTATATTAGTCAATAACGATTGAGCTGGTTTATCTGTACATGATGCAATAATAAAAATTTAATATTTTGTTCACCTACACCAGGAATAAAAAAATTAACACCAGTTTCTAATTATGCACATTCTTGATATATTATGTCCAGTATAGTTCGAAATAATTTTTTAGTTGGATGATTTGGTGTTGGTAAAACACCACCAAGAATAATAGATTCCGAATATCGTCGATTTGGTAACGGGATTTCGTTTATCATAAAGTTATTGGTCATAAAGATACATGCTTGTTTTTCGTAACAGCACCATCAGTATTAAGTATCATAGTAAAGGACTCTTCTGATTTTGAATTTAGTATATGACCATATTTTTTTGCTTGAAGATTTTCTTTATAAATCTTTCGTTGACGTTTCATTTGCTTAAATATATTTGGCATGAGTAGCAAATGTTGAAGTTGTTCCACAATAGAATAATAATAAAATTCTATCATAACACTGGATTTACATTGAAAACATTCAGAACACTTCTGGTCGATGGCTTTCATACCACACGCGTTACAAATTTTATAACAAAACCATTTCGATGAGACATCTAATTTCATTTTTCTTTTAATAGATTTCCAAGAAGTAGGTATATCAGGACCATTTAATGCTTTCAAAAACCTACAATATGTATTGATGTCACTGTTATTCTGTTGCCTTCGAACTTTAAAGATTACAGCTGATGCGGCAACATCACTACGCGTTAATTGTGATCGTCGTAACAACGTTGACGTACATTCTAAACAAATGTATCTCTGTCTAGCAAAATGAGATGAATTTCGCTTCGTCTAAAGTTGAATCTATCTAGATGCAGTTATAGATTTTCTGGTTTTGGTATAAATGGCAATTAGCAAATAAAACTTGTATATTTCAAACTCAAAATATTCTCAACACATAACCAACTATGCTAAGATCTGTACAAAATCAAAAATAATATTTAATTTTACCATTTATTTTATCTCGGTAGTTGTCGTTGCCAATGCATCCATTGATTCAATACGTTCTGGTTTGAATTCCTTAATTTCTTCGACTTTCATAGGTGCAGATGATATAGACTCTAGAATCAATAGTTAAATTTAAGAAGTGTTAAAAGAAATAGCTCCATATCACTTTGATTTTAAAATATTTCTTGAGATTGATTGATGATAGATGTCTTGGAAGTAATGAAATCATATTTTGATTGTTCTCATTTTTGTAATCGAGTTCGTTTTCTATAAAAAATTCTTCGACTCATCTTAAAAAGAAAATGAAAAATACAGAATTGAAAATTCTGCTGTGAGAAATTGAATCTTTGTTTGATGTGTTGTCAAACTCCGACATTATCTTGACAAATTCAGTAAGTTTAAGATGAAGTTATTATTTATATGTTTATTAACTATTATGAATTGAATCAACAATGCTTAACCATACAACAACATGATCAAGCTGAATCTTGATATATTACTCATAATGAACAAATCGACAAAAACCAACGAAAAATCAAAAATATACGATAAATGAACATCAGTAATCAAGTGCAATAATGAGTTTAACTGTAGATGAAATGGTATTAAAGTAACAGTAAAGGAAGAAAGACTTCAATGTATTACAGGCATAAAACAAAGAAATATATGTAAAAAATAAAAAGAAAATACTGCTCAATTAAATATTGTTCATTCACTTGACGACATATTGTTCTTGATTACATCACAAATGTAATATTTTATGGTTAGTAACAACCATAAGATAATGATCCTGTTGTTGAAACTTTTAAAGAGAAGCGAGTTTATTGGCTTTTTTCTTGTTATCACATTTCATTTGATGACATTTACCAGAAATACAACTTGAAAATTCTGTTTTGGTGAATACAGCAGTAGGACAAACAGTTTTGACGTAAGCTAAAATAGATAAGATAATGTATGAAAAACTTTCATATATACATAAAATAAGTTCTCTTCTACTAATATTACATTGATATCAAATGAAAGTTATCTATACTAGCAGATATTGAAAACAAAATTTTCGCTTATGATTTTCACCTGAAATATTATCAATCACATCTTTATTACGAGTTCGAAGTGATGTATAATTTTCATATTGCAAATCTACATTCTTGAAACAAGCTTGTATTAAATTGACAACAATTTTTCTCCATGATAATTGTCCATTACCAGTTGCTTGTAATAATTCAAAATTAGTAAGACCTAACAGTTGCTCATACTAAATCGAAAAACGAGAAATTGACAATAAAAAATGCTAATATCGTATTAAAATTAACTTACATTAATTACTCTTGTTTTTGCTAATTCACTACGCGTACCAACAACAGCCGACACACGGCGCAAATAATCACTTTTTTCAGTTGTTGGAAATGCTAAAATTAATAAAAATATCTTTACTGAACCAAATTAATTAACAAAAAATAACTTACGAACGGATGTATGTTTCAATTCTTTCAATTGATTTTCCAGATCAAGAATTCGTTTTCTATTACTCTTTAATTCAAGTTGAATATGACGAGGTAAAATTAATTCATCATCCGCTTCTATATTATCATTGGAAATAGTGTCATTTTCTTGTCGATCAATTCCTGTTAATTTTGTTCGTTGTTGAGATTGATTCAAATCAGCTGAACATTTTGACGACCTATTATTGTCAAGGGAATCGTTATTAGAAAGGCTTACAATGATTGAAGATTCTGTAGTTGAAGCGGATGATTCAGGTTGATCATTGGTATTATTTTCATTAGGTTGTCGTTTCTGATTATCAAATGCATTTTGTTGATTGTTTTGTGTTGTTTTATCAATTTGAGTTGATTTCTTAACAATCACAATTGACGAATTTGTTTTCATTTGCTTTCCAGTAAATTCAGGTTCTTTTGATTCATTTTTTCGCTTTTTTTGTTCAAATATTGTACATCTCATTACTTTGTTATTGGCATTGGATTCGGAGACAATAGTAGGCAACCTTGTTAACTTATCAACTGTTAAAGAAGTATCACCCCCACAATATTCTTCACATTTCTCGAATGTTTCTATCAATAGTCGTCAAGAAGAATATGATACAGTATACAAGTAAATATATAGTTTTATCTAATCTTACCTTTAAACAGGAATTTACCTCGAAGACGTCGATGTCTATCATTTTTATCAACAGATAAATAATCAACATTTACTTTCATTTTCGCGTTTTTTGCTGAGTGTATGCAGCTTGGTGGTACAAAACTTACTTCATTTCCACCAAATTTAACTACATACATTGGATTCATTGCTTATAATCTGGAAATAATAAATAGGTTAATATCAATGTTAGATATCAGTTTTTATAAGATAAAAAAGCTAGGCGCACGGTGAACATCGTCATATAGCTATTCTTATTGTATCTAGCATGACAAACAGGTGGCTGCTGCATAGCCATGTGTATATAAAAGAATAACCTTTTAAACTCAAGGAACAGTCCAGAATATGATTGCTATTCTAATGGTAATTATTTTTAAATGTCCAGCGAATTAAAGTTGGTTGGATGAGATCACCAAATCAAAGTGGAGAATCACTAAAAAAACTGAATTTCAAGAAGTTTCGGCTCATCAAAATTGAATTGAATAATGAAAACTGTTTCGTCGCTAGGTTTGCTGAGAGAGAGTAATCAAAATTTCGATAGACTCAGAGTGCTCGAAATTATATCGAGTAATCGAAAGTAGTTGTCCGATGGGTTTTTCTTTTTCGAGTAGTCGGTAATTCGATGGTTCTCGAGTGGTCGAAATGTATCCGAGGAGCTGCAAATAAATGTCCGATAGAAGTATGTTTCCGAGAGGTCGATATTCGATGGGTACTAAGGGGCTCGAATGTTGAACAGAGCGACAAAAAAAAATATATATATGAAGTTTCGACCACTCGTCGCACCCATCGTTAGCTTTTTTTTGTTTGCTTGGGTAAGTATAAAGAGCGTAGATGAAAATTAAATTAATTTGATAATCTATAAACAATATTAAATTGAACGAGATAAAAATTGATATTCTTATTAATTCAAATGATGACATTCATTTAAAATATTTTTCAATAATCTGAAATAATCAAATCAAAATTTATTGAATAATTTCTTAAAAATGATATCTATAAATTTGCATCTCATTTTAAAAAATCTAAACAACTACTTTTATTCAATTTAGAACGACAATATTATTTGATTTCGTAATCTATGAAAGAATTCAAATACCCGAATAAAATTACAATGCGTTAAGTTTCTTTCAATTTTCTATGCTTACCAAAGTGTAGAAGAACTATGAATATTTAATTATCTTCTATTATTCACTTGATAATTGTTTGATAAGAATAATTAACATAAGGTGTATGTGAAACTGAGCATAAAAAGAAGGAAACGTGTCAACGTAACATGACGCTTTCATAGACATCTAATCGTTATCTTTCATTTTTAGGTGTTAAAATAAAAAAAGATAAATTTTTTTCTAGATATACGCAAATGAATGTATGATATTATGTTTGTTGAAGAAATCAATATTTAAAAAATGTGTTAAACTACTCATTTATGTTATTTTTTCATTTGATGTCGTTTAGTGTGAAAAGAAGAAAAATTTTCAACAGTTTAAATGGAAAGAAAAAAACCTACTTCAATATTGTATTAATCGACACTTCAAAATTTATTCGAAGTAATGAAAGTTCTACTTTTTTTTCTCTCTTGTGGTAACATCATTAAAATCAACACATCTATGTAGGTTGTCATTATCAATGCGAACAAGCTTATATGAGAAAAGGTCATATAAATACCTACAATCGACTTTTTTTTTCGTTTTGACATATGTTAGTCCGCCCTAGTCAACGTTTCTACCTAATATTTTGTTTTTCAGTTGCTCCTTTTCACATTGGTGAAAAGAACACATTGATTAGTCTAGAAAAACCTAGTTTGTAATTTTTAGTTTTTGAAAATGAAAATCAAACAAAATTTTGACAAAACATAGAATTTCAAATATCATTAAATAGACGTGAAAGTGTTTTAAAGCTTATTTTTTTTCTAATCAGCTTAGCATGAAGAATCAGAAATTAATCTCTAAAAATCTTCTACATTAACGAATAACAAATAATAATAATATTTGAAATTCTATGTTTTATTCAAATTTCATTTGATTTTCATTTTCAAAAAAATTCGTAGACAAGTTTTTGTTTTTCGTCCATATAAAGAAAACATTTTGAATGACATTCACCTTACACATTCAAAATAAATAATTGATATAGGTCACAATGTATTATTTATTCTTAACGTGAGTATTGATTTTAAGACAAGCAATAACTTTTTTTTTTCATGATATTATTTATCGTTAATAAACATTGGAAATTCCTTCTGGATTTTGTGTAGCTAATAAAAAGAAAGAGAACAACCAACTAGAATATTTCATGATAGTACATAGTTAGCCATCTATTTTATTATTAATGTATATGTATTTTTCTTACTGGAAAAGGAAGTTCGGAAAGTATGTACGCTATATATTCTATCATTTGTTGTAAAAGAAAAATTTCAAGAATAATTTGATTATTTTTCTTCAAGAGTTATGTCTATTTTACAATATATTAGTCTTACTATTGTAGTGATGTTTCTGTACTATCGAATTGTTTTTTTGGTAATAATAAATTCTTTTTTATTTTTGCTGATATAATTCAATTTTCACAAAATTGAATTATTTGGAATATTGAAATTGGTTAATAAATGAAATATAAATGATTTGTTGCCAATAGATCAAAAAAGTATAAATTTGATTTAACAAATTATTTATTCATAATCATTCAAATATTGAAGATTTGTCTATTTAACGTTTAACTGTCAAGTTAATTCTACTTTTCAAAATATCAGTCAATTAGAATAAGTAGTTTTTTCTGTTTTGAAAATGTCTTTTTTTATCAATAGATCTTAAGAGTAATTATTTTCTCTATCATATTATCAATGAATGAGAAAATCGACAAACAAATCGAGTTTTATTTTAATAGAAGTATTAAAAATAACCATTATTATATTAGATTGAATTTTCAATAGTATATGCAATTTGAAAATTCACAATGAAATAAAGTACTTGTAATGATTCTTTGCAAATAAGAAGTATTTTTTTATTCAATCTCTATTTTCAAGGTCAGTTATTAGTTATAATCAAAACAAATAAAAAAAATTACGAATGAGCTTTATTATCTTTTTTTTTTGTTTTAATGATCACGCTCTAATGATTGTTGAATGTATGTATGAAATGAATGGTATGTTTCATTCTTTTCTATACGTGCTCTTTTCTTTTTAGTAGCAAACTCCCTTCGATACGAACGTGTAAGTGTAAATAAAATAGGCATTTTTCTTCCTGTTCTTCTATAATTCACCTTCCAGCTTATACATGCGCCCATGTGCTTCGACCATAACAAAGAGAAGAGCGCATACGACTGTCGACTAAACAGACAGAAACATTCTTTTTTCTCTAATACGACTGAAGACGATAGTTTTCTTCTTTTTCTTTTGCTTTTGTTTGACCAAAGTTATTTGTTGTTTCTCACATTGAGAGAATTAACTTAATGTGGAACGATCTTTTCTTTTCTTTTTTTTTTTTGGTTCTCTAACACAACGGATTAAGATTTTCCTATTACAAACAAACGGAAATATAGCAAACATTGATTGGTATTCGACTACTTTTCAAGTAGGAAAAAATAAGTAAGGCATACGACAAGAGAAAATATAGTGACGAGTTAGTGCTAAGTAGTGTATTGTGTTTCTGCATGAGTAGTGACAAATCTAATATTGCTCATCATCATGCCAGCTACTTCCGCTTTATAACATGTCTTTATCTAGAAGTTGGCGTAAAATGCAGTCTAACTTAATTTTCATTTTAATTATTTTTATTTTTGTAGATTTTTGTTTTTGTTATTATTTTTATTGAAAATGTAATGAAAGGAATCTATACTGTATAGGTAACGGAAATCTAAATTTATTATTATTATATATAATATCTCTTTCGAATATATCATTTAATAGATCATCGTATAGTAAGAAAGTAGAAGTTAATAATCTGATTTTTTTTTCGATAGTTTTACTTCATTTCTTGTATGTTTGTAAATTCTTGAAAAGTTACTTGATTTGATTTTGTTGAATAGAACATTGATTTCGTCTAAAAAATTATAAATTTCATGATATTTTGAAAATTTTTCATATGAACTTTTTTATTTTCACAAAAATTTTCTTCCTCATGAAAAATTAAAAGTTCTGTAAACATTGAGTTCTTTTCTTTTTTTTTCGGTAATTATATGATCCGGTAGAATGTTGATTTTTGTAGTAGTTCATCAAATTTACTTTGTGCCTTACAAGTGAATATTTTCTTTTTTTTTTGTCACACATACAAATAAATTTTAATTTTAACAATAAAAATTAATAATATGTTTCGTAAAATCGAATAAATTTTTTTTGTTTGATATTTATTAGACAAAAATGATCAAAAACATATAATTGTCACGAACCTGTAGTAAACTAACCACAATGACATTATCCGAGTTGTTGAGAATATCTTCAAAAAAGGAAAAACACACATGACAGAGATGAAAGAGAAACAGAACTGAGGGAATCGGAAGAAGAGAACAAAAAAAAAGCAAGTACTATGTGAAAAAATGCATTTCTCTATTTTTAAGAAAAAGACACTATATCATCATGTCGTTGGATAATAAATGAATGCGGTACCCACGCCTTCGTTTACGTTGTTCAATTCTCTTCGGCTTAATAATATTAAGCCTTTTCTGCTTTGTAACATTTAACACATTTTTATGGTCAACAACTGAACCTGAACCACAAGAACACATTCCACAACCTCCTAAACCACCTGTTGATATACCACTTTGGTCGGCTATTGGTCACGAAAATATTTATGATATAAAAGCAACAAAAATACTCAAATTAACTAATCATGCATCATCTATAACTGGTGAACGTATAGAGGAACTTTATCAATTAGTACGTAGTGCTAAAGATGATCATGTAAAAAACCCATATTCTCGTGATTCAACATGGAGTCTTGAAAAATTTGTTGGTAAAATATTCAACAATACTACTAATGATGCAAGTAAACGTGATGATACAGCTGATTCAAACCGTAAGAAAGCAAGAAAACATAATTCTACAAATGTAGACGAAACTACCACTGAACATGATAAAAAACAATTACGATATTTTATACATCGTGCAATGGCTAAATGGAAAAAACGACATTTAAATGATAAAATTATAACATTAGGCGATCTTTTGCATGATACATTAGCACAAGATGACCCAAAGTAAGTACAAAATTTGTTTTTTTTTTCATGTTTAAACAAAATTTTCTCAACCATAAATTATCAATCCGTCAATTTAAATAATAGACATTATGATTGTGTCTGTCACATGCATTTTATTTGATAACTCATATTTTGATTTTTTTTTCCTTAACCAATAATAATAATTTGGTTAACTACGGTTTTATTATGATGAATAGTGTTGACTGCACGCAATAGTCTTTGTTTTTTTATTGTTCGGAATATGAAAATAGATCTGAATGGCATGAGAATAATAACATATATCATCGATGATTGTGTTTCATGATACATTCAAACAAACCATAGTGAAGAAAATGTAATAACGTAGTAGATTTTACAGTCTAAATCCAATCATCGCTTGTATATATTTTTTTTTTGTTTCTCATTAATAATTGTCAATTGAAAAATTATTCAATGTAAACATGAGTTCTCTTATCGACTTATAACAAAAAAAAAAAAAAAAGAAAGTTTATCATATTTTTTGCCTTCAAGTATAGAGAAAAGAAAAAAGGCTTTTATTTATTCAAAATGAAACATTAGTCGATTAATTTGATGGAATAAAATATGCTTTTAGAGAAGCATGCACTATTAATATCCAATCATTTGAAGCCTTGAGCATTCTTTTAGCAAGACTATAAAATGTAAAGAAGTTGTTTCTTTTTTTTTTTATTATGTATAAGAAAGTGTCTATTTAAGGATTATTATATTCTTCTTGATACACAGAAAGCATACGGTATTTTATTGGATAATATCTTCGTTTGTAATAATAAAAATATAAACATGAGAATATTTGAATAAATTTTTTTGCAATCCGATCAATAAGATATTTTCTTATTGAAAACACAAAAACAAAACTCTATTTAATAAATATATCCATTAATCTAATTACATAAAAGTCTCATTTAATTATCATGCATTCGTTGTTCGTCACGAGTCTCTCAGGAATTTTATCTGCCATTACAAATTGTTTTTTTCTTCATTCTTTGTTCCATTTGGTTCTTTTTCGTTGTTTAAAACTTGAAAATTATTTCTCTCCTTTAAAATTTACAATAGTCGATATATCAGTAAATTTAGCGCCGCCTTCTTGAGGTAAAAGTCGATTATTAAATAACTTTTCAATAGTTCAAAATGCTTTGTTTTTTTGTTTTTCCTTTTGTATGTGACATTTAACTTGGTCCCATGTTTATATTCTTATTATTACAAAAAAAGATATATTATCCGATCATATCATATGTCATTTGAAAGCTTGAGACGAACGGCCAAGGCTCATATAAAAATATTCGGTTAGAGATTAGTCTTCATTTGTATATAAATTAAATTTGTCGAGCTTCAAGACTTATGGAACATCCTGTATAATTGAAATAAATAGTATCGATTAGGAATTTAATTTTCTAAATATAAATCAGAATTAATGAGTTTGATGAAGAACGGATATGAAGGATCACTTTCATAAAACTCAATATTTCCTTCAATACAATAAGAATATTGTCTTATATATATATATATATTTAATAAAAATTCTTGATGATTCGTTCTTTTGCAGAAGATTGAATACAACATGGTTTCAGTTCACGAAAACGGTGACTAATTTACGTGTCTATAATATATATAGTTCAGAATATACAAATCTTTTCAAATATTTGCAATATGGTGAAATAACTGAAGCAAGTATGTGAATGAAATTTGTTTTTTCTTTTTCTTTTTTCGTGTAACATTTTTTTTTTTCTAAAGATGAAATGCCACAAGGTACTCAAATTAAAATTATTCTTGATTTACCTAATGGTTTTCAAGGACTATTAAAACCTTTCAGGTTTTGCAGTTTTATTATTTTTGAAATTTAAGTTTTCTTTTTCTTCTTCTTTTTGATTCTATAGAGTACCGCGTAATTATCAAACACCATCGGATCATTTTTATTTTAGTGATGTTGAAAGACATCATGCAGAAATAGCAGCATTTCATGTAGACAAGTAAATTATTTTATACAATCACGATTTTCTTTTTATTTTAATAATAATATCATTCATTTTTAGGGTTCTAGGTTTTAATCGTGTTCCTCCAGTAATTGGGCGGATTTTTAATATAACTAAGGATATTCGTGAAAAAGCAACAAGTGAATTAGCTGGCTCATTTTTTATTTCACCTGGTAAAGAAGTTTTTTTTTTTTTTTTCAAATGATTTTTATATCTTTGAATTTTTTTTGTTTAGCTAATAATACGTGCTTCCGTGGTCATTGCTCATATTATTGTGATACAGGACATGCTGTTTGTGGTAAACCAGGTGATCATTTAGAAGGTTCTGTTCAAGTACTTTTACCAAGACCACCTGAAATCGATTGGCAAAAACTTACTCATCCATATCGTCGATCATATAGTTCAACAAAAAAAGCTGACTGGGAAACAAATGAAAATTATTGTTATGAATATATTATGATTGATGAAGATTATCACAATCGTTTAATGCTTGATATGATGGATTTAGCAGCATTTGATTTTATTATAGGTAAATTAATTGTTTTCTTTTTTTCGTTAGTTGTGCACAATTCAAAAGTTCAGCAAAAAATTGTAAATATTGTTATATATTTTGATGAGATAAAAAAAAATAAGCTCAGATACTTATCTATGTTTTCGCGAGCGAATTTTTGTTTTTTTACTTTCTCATCTAATATTGAACTTAGAAAACATAATAGAAATTTTGGTCTATACACCGAAGTTTCTATTATTTTTTTAAGTTCCATATTAGATGAGAAAGAGAAAAAAATTCGATCGAAAAATATATTGTAGAAGAAAAAACAGGTAACATGGATCAGTATCTTAGTTCATTTTTTTCTCATCCTGATGTATAATAATATTTACAAGTTTTTTTTCCTTATACAACTCGATGAGTTCTATCCAATGATAGCAACATTCAAAAAATTTTGAATTGTGCACATCTTATGTTACTTTATCAAAATTAATTTTAGGTAATTTGGATCGTCATCATATGATGCGTATTAGTTCATTTGGTAACAATACAAGTTTAATATATGTGGATCATGGTCGAAGTTTCGGTCGATATGATTATGATGATTTATCAATTTTAACACCTATTCGACATTGTTGTTTTTTTCGTTATACAACATTTAAACGTTTATATCGTGTATATAAGCAAGGTCTTTCAAAATTAGTTTCAAAATCATTAAAAAATTTTGAAGGATTACAAATGATTCTTATTGACGAACATCTTACTGCTATTGATCGACGTTTAGAAATAATTTTTGCACATCTTGATGCATGTATTAAAATTTATACAGTGAAAGGCGTTATGATTGATGATGGTATTGATTAAATGAAGGTCTTCGAAGTTTTTATCAATTAATAAGAGTAAAAAGAGTGTTTTTATTGTTGCTGTTGTTGTTGTTGTTTTTATTTTTCTATTCGTTTTTTTTTTAAATTTCTTGTTAAAAGACTTAATTTGTTATTATTGTTGTGAAATTTTTTTTTTTTTACCAACGAAGAGTTATTTTAAAATAAAGAATAAAAACCAAACGATTTGACAATTAAATTTAAATAAGATCTATTCATAATTTCAATTAAAATATATAAATATAGACAACGAAATAAAATTAACAAAAAAATAAAATGTTCGAAATCTTTATTTTCTTCTTTTATTATTTTGTGAATTAAGAACTTTAAAATTAAGTGCATTAAATCCACAACCATAATTTAAATTCCAATCAAATTCTGATGATTGTCGATTTTCAGCACTAAATGCATAAACCATATTCATTTCATCATTTTCACATTCATCAGATGATTTTTCTGTTTGTTCATTGATTTTTTTATATCGTGCACCTTGTCCATACATTTGATATGTACGACGATTTAAAAATGTTGCTACTGTTCGTAATGTTAATGATATACGTTCACCATAGAATACAATTTCATCAGGATCTTTTACTGAATTATGTCGTTTATCTGGACGTATTGCATGATACCATTCACGATTTGTTTGCCAACCCAAAATAAATAAAGAATTATGTGGTAATTTAAATTCTTGTCGAATTCCATATTGTCGTTTATTTATTAAAGTCATTTTACGAGCAGCACCTAAAAACAAATTAGAATGATGAAAATTGAGATTGATTTTTTATTGAAATTTTACCTAAACTATAATTAACAATATATGAACCAAGTAAAATATCTAATGTTTTATCGGAATGTTCACCTATATTATCATATCCATTTTTATAATATTGTATTAATGCATGATTTATTTTTTGTTGTAAAATTTCTTCAATTCGTTCTTTTATTTTCAATGCTGTTGGTGTCCATGAAACAAGTTCAGGTTGTTCATCAGCTGGATGTCGATATAGTGGTTCATATTCATCACCATCATTTTCAATAGTTATTGTTCCTTGTATGGAAATTTCACGTGGTACACGTTTACCTCTTTGTCGCATTGTATTCCATTTAACTTCATTATGTAGATTATAAAATAAATCATCAGCTATATCTTTTGGAAAAATATCAAGTAATAAAAATGAATCATTTGATCCATATACGGTTGCATTTTGTGCCCACGATGGAATAGAAGATATATTCGTTGCCATTTAGAACTTAAAATATTCAAGAGAGAAAAAATATTTAAATTTTTACATATTCTAAAAGTGCTTGAAATTTCCTCTCATCTTATGTATTTATATTTTAGTTTGCATTTATTCATTACAAAAATAAAATCGATTGTAATAAATTCATCCTCATTACTCAACTCCAACGAATTTCATTTTGTCATGATCATCAAAATTAGTTTTTCATCATTCTAGAATTCTCTTTTAAAAAAGTAAAAGTATATATTCTGATAGAAATTGAAATTCTCTATCACTCTATACATCTACTAGAGGTCTATGAGACAAACTTTTTCGTGTCCCGAATTTTTTCGAATTGTCTCGTAAAACCTTGTTACTCTCATTGATCGAAAGGAATATAAAAATATTCTTTTGTCAAAGAAGAACACATACTTTCTATACTACCAATAGACAACTTGTATTCATAAATATACATATATAGCTATTAGACAAACTAACTATATTTTAATTTATATAATCGGTAGTACAATACCGACCGAGAAACACGTCTAGGTATAGATGAAATTAATAATTTGTTACTCATCAAATGAAATATTGAAACATTAATGAAAATTTATTTGTCTGCAGTCGAAGTGTAAGAAAAAAAAAAGAGATTAATTTGATGTAAAACTGTAGTTTAAGTACACTCGCACTGGTTGATGCATAGAGTACACTAATTAAACGAAACGATATGCCTAAATTATAGTAGTAGTGAAACAAATGATAATATTAAAATACTTGTTAGAAATAAGAAGTCTCAAACTTACGACGCGTTTTGATATATAAAATCCAGAAAATTCTGAACCGTCCCGATTGCTCCATGGGACGGAACAAACGAGATTTTTCGGTATTCGGGATTGTCCTGCAGATCCCTAATATCTACCTATTGTCTTACATTTATTAATCACAACAAATAAATGCAAAATAATAACTGAAATGTATACAGCGTTTCATGCTGTAGTGATGAAAAATTTTTAAAAACTAATTTTGATGGTAGTGACAAAATGAAATATATGGGAAAACTGGTGATGGGAGTATCTTCATTACACTCAATTTATTTCGGTAATACTTAAAAGTACAGATTAAAACATAAATACAGATATATTTAAAATATAAATTGCAACAATTTTTGTTTGAATCTATGAGTAATTTGAGATTTTTTTTACGATATTTTTATCAAAAAGAACATATAAAACATGATAGATAAGTATTTAAATATTAATTTCGACGAATTTGATTCAACAGAAATGAACATGAAAATAGATAGTCTAAACATTAGAATCAATTCAGACTTACTTATGATGTGATGTTAGTAAAAATGAAATTGACAAACAAAAAATCCGTCGTGTTCTTATTTTTTTTCTTACGATAGTAAAATGACGGCATTAAACGAGTATGGCGCATACATTGTGCAATATTTCATCACCATGTTACCGTTTTCTACGTATACCATGTTCTTTTTAGTATAATGTCACCTTGAAAAATTATATATATTAGACGAGTAGGAAGTGATTCAATTTTTCTTTGAAGGATAATTCGTTACGAAAGATCTGTCATTGGTTGGACAAATGTTTTGTGTCTATGCATTGTATTAGTCAAATATAAACTGTTACGAAAATATATTACTTATCATATATCGATTATATTTGAGATTCGTAGAAATTGTTATGCAAGAATTTATTTGATTTCTTTATTTATAGTTCAACAATCATGTTTCTATAATCAAATTTCAAATTTTTCATGTTCTAATCGATCAAATGACTTTTAACCAGATGCAGTAATATAGAGTTGTTATTTTGAATGACTAATTAAGTAAATATAAAATATACGAAGTATTTTTTTTTTGCTTGACTATCGTAAAAGGTTTAATATGAATATAAATATTTTATCATAATCTTTAATCATTTTTTATGATTATGGGCAGAATTTCACTCTTTCAAGTATTGTGAGTTGTGTGTTTTTTTTTTCATTTTTTGCCTCGTAGTCATACATAGGTTTTCAACTTTGACGCGTATCATTTCGAATTATGATACGGAAAATCCGATTAATAACACAAGAAAGTTCCTAACCATTTAGTGCAGATATGAACAAGATAGTTTCGATTCCTCCGGTCTCAGAACCATTTTTTTTCTGAACAGGACTAAGCATTGAATTGTTCATGAAAATTTAAGTGGTCGATTTTAAAAGAACAATTCTTCCAGTGTCATTTTAGGTTTGTAGGAATTAAATTAAAAACAAAGATGATATATTTCTTGTAATTGATCTAAAGTTTAGTTCATGATGGAAAACAACAGTTGGGTTGTTTTAATATGTATCCAGCATCTAAATAAGATATCGACAGAGATAACTGATGATGGAATTTCGATATGATATTTTGTCTATTCGAATTTCATAAGAAGGTCAAGAATATTAAGTTTTTCTCGAAATTCAATACTTCGAGAAAGAAATATTTATTCTAGTCGAAATTTCAGAGAACTTAGTTATGGACAAAAAATTCAGCTCAATCCGCATTAGTTAGTTAAGAGCTTTTCCCCCATCAGGAAATGCTTAGTTTCTAACGAAAAGAACGATGTAGTCAAAAAAAAAGAGGAGAATAAAATTTTTTCTTTTGTTTTAGTAGTAGAGCAGACACTTGTTTATAGAATGTAGCATTGAACTACACTGTTGCTTTTACATAAATAACACTATAAATATTTTCTCGAGAGCTCACAATGTAAGATTCTGTACTGTTAACAAAGGGCATTAGACATATTCAAGCCAAGTTAAAGCTCTCACTAACAAATGTTAACTACGAGCTGCCCATGGCGTGCATCGAGCGAGATAATGGGTTTTTTAAGTATTTACGGTATATGTAAGTTCGTCGAGTTGCATAAGGAAAGTGTGTTTCAAATTTAAAAAATAAAAGAATGACAAACAAAATTAATGGAAAATACCCAAGATACTATTATCTTTACATACAAGACAAATAGGCTAAAACATTCTGACTTATATGAAATCTTTTAAAATTTATTTTCAAGTTTGACATACACTTTTTCTTATGCAACTCAATGAACTTACATATACTGTAAATACTTAAAAAAGCTTGTTAGCACAGCTCCCTTGGAGCTGAAATGTAGAATTCATATGTATCCTTAAACCTTCCTATTCTAATGCATCATATGTAAACTGAAAAACTTCGTGTACACTGTAGTTGTTTTCATTCATAATTAATGACAAGGGCGAGACTTTGTTATTCATATGTAAATTTAAAACAGAAAACTTTTTTTTGTTTGAGAGCGCCCTATTTTTATTTTGCATTGTTACTATTCGCTCATTATCTTTCATTTTTTTAAAATCGTTTTTCATAATACAACATTCTTATTGTTATAATCATTGAATTAATTGGCAAATAAATATGTTTGACATATCCATGATATCTACAGAAGATCTTATGCACTATTATCTATGTTAATCAGCTCACAAACAATGATATTGATTATCTTTCGAAATTATAACTTGATCAATTTTTTCAAAAACATAGAAAGTCTGACGCCTTTTATTCTTGATTGCTAAGGTCTGTAATGCGAAGGGATGGGAGAGCCGCCAAAACTTGAACTTGAAACTTACACTCATTATTTTCTTCGAAAATATATGTGAGTTCCACAAAATAAAACCATATTTTCATTATATAAAAAGTAAAGAAAAAAAAAACGCGAGTTAAAGATAGTAAAATGATTATAAT